TGCTCCTCCTATTCTTGACGATGATGCTTCTGTCCCTGGTCACGAGGACACTTCTGCCATGGCTTCTCATGATGCTTCTATACCACCGGTCCCAACTCCTCCGGAGAATAACGAGAGCCATATACCTCTTACTCAGGCTACTGATGCACTACTTGGTCGCGGGCAGAGGGCTAAACGCACATCCGTATTACTTCGTGACTTTGTTACACACGTTCGGACTGAGAGCCCATCCCCGCCTCTTTCTGTCTCCACAGGACACTCAGGTATGTCTTATCCTATATCTCACTATGTGAATTGTGATAATTTTTCTTCTCGTCATCGGGCATTTCTTGGAGCCATTCTTGCAGGTCTTGAACCTAGATCTTTTAAGGAAGCCATGACTGACGAATGATGGCGGAAAGCCATGCAAAGTGAAATCCGTGCTCTTGAAAATAATGAAACCTGGGTCCTGGCACCTTTACCTCCCGACAAGAAGGCTCTTGGATATAAATGGGTCTATAAAATTAAGTATCATTCTGATGGTACAGTTGAACGTCTCAAGGCACGGTTGGTGGTGTTTGGTAATCATCAGGAGGAGGGCATTGATTACACTGAGACATTTGCTCCCGTGGCTAAAATGGTTACGATTAGGGCATTCTTGGCAGTTGCAGCAGCTAAAAACTGGGAACTCCATCAGATGGACGTTCACAATGCATTCATTCACGGTGACTTGGATGAAGAAGTTTACATGAAGCCTCCTCCTGGTTTTTATCCCGCTCAACCCGGTGTGGTATGTCGGTTGAAGAAATCCTTGTATGGGTTGCGATAGGCTCCTCGTTGTTGGTTTGCCAAGCTAACCGCCTCTCTACGTCACTATGGTTTTCGGCAATCTTATTCGGACTACTCTTTATTCACGTTTCGCCGTGGTGATACAATTCTAAACGTGCTCATTTATGTGGACGACCTGATTATTGCTGGAAATAATTCCGCGGCCTTGACTGCTTTTAAACAGTACTTGAGCACATGTTTCCATATGAAGGATTTGGGCATTCTCAAATATTTTCTTGGGATCGAAGTGGCGCGCAGCTCGGAGGGTATTTTTCTGTGCCAACGCAAATATGCTTTGGATATTATCTCTGAGACTGGGCTACTAGGTGCCAAACCTGCCAATTTTCCCATCGAGCAGAATCATGTGTTGGCTTTGGCTGACGGTCCGCTATTAGCTGATCCCGAGTCCTATAGACGTCTTGTGGGCCGCCTAATTTATCTCTCTTTCACACGTCCCGACTTGGCCTACGTAGTGCATATCCTCTCTCAGTTTATGCAAGCTCCACGTCACCAACACTGGGATGCCGCACTGCGGGTTGTCCGTTACTTGAAGGGCACCCCGGGTCAAGGAATTCTCTTGCATTCCACGTGTAATTTAACCTTGACAGGATGGTGTGATTCAGACTGGGCAAGCTGTCCACTTTCTCGACGCTCTCTTACTGGATGGTTAGTGTTTTTTGGTACTTCTCCTATTTCTTGGAAAACCAAGAAACAACAAACTGTGTCCCGATCATCTGCCGAGGCAGAATATCGTTCCATGGCAGCCCTTACGGCGGAATTAAAATGGCTTAAAAGTCTTCTTCTAAGTCTTGGTGTAGCCCATCCTCAAGCTATGCCTTTATTCTGTGACAGTAAGTCGGCACTCCATATTGCTCACAACCCTGTATTTCATGAGCGTACGAAACACATAGAAGTCGATTGTCACTATGTCCGAGATGCCATCCAAGAGGGATTGATTACTACCCGACATGTCTCAACTACTAATCAACTGGCTGATATCTTTACTAAAGCTCTAGGAAAGCGGCAATTTCTTTATCTTCTTCGCAAGTTGGGCATTTATAATCCGCATGCTCCAACTTGAGGGGGGGTGTTGGGGCAAGAATGGGCCTTGATTATTATTGTAATTAGTTCTAGTAATTATTTTGTATTTAATGGGCTGTGACCTATTAAACCTAGGGCAGATTTTGCCTTGTATATAATAGGCTGTACGTAGGGGAGAGCACGGGTCGGGTTCGGGCGGGTCGGGTCTGCGGGTATCAAACCCGTTCGGATTTTGTAATGTGATTCTTGAACCCAACCCGCGTTGTTTGGATATCGGTTTTTTTGAATATTAGAAAGTCGGATAATTTCGGATATCGGTTCGGATATCGGTTAGTTCGGTTATAGTTAAAACACATTGAAATTGCATCATTAGTTCATTAATATGAACTGTCAAAGTAAATTAGACAATCCAAGCAACTAAATTGGAAATTACAACCAACTAAATTACTTAGCAATCCAAGCATAAACTAACTAAGTATTTAAATTACAAACCCAACACCAAAATAACCAAGTATTTAGACAGTTATCAAAAAATATAAATTAGGCCATATTGGCTATTGCAAACCCAGCAGGCCAGCACCACTGCACCATAGTTTACAAAGCATATCAAATACTGCAAAACCAAGTCTTCTCAACTTTAAGCCTGCACATATGACATATCATCAATGAATAAATGCATAATCACAAATCACAATGCACAGAGTTATTACATATTGGTTCAGATTGCTTCTTGTCATTTCAAAACTAATTGGGGGCATCCAAAGTAGATGGTGGTAGGTTTCAAGCCATCTCATTATGTAAAGATACATTGGAGGCCAAATCCAAATTACCACCAACTACTCTTAATACCAACCCAATCTTATTTCAGTATATGGTGGAAGCTTTCATCATAACCAAAACGGGGCAAATGAAGAACAGAAGAAGCAGTTAAGTTGTCAGGAAAAACAAAGGGGCAAATGAATAGCACCGGAAATTGAATAGGGGTTGTGGGCAGTGGAAGACATCCAACACCAACACTTCCAACACCTATTGTTAGTCACCTTGGTAAATCATAAATGAGCAATAGAAACAATGTTGATAACATGTCAAAGCTTCCACTATATGAGGAGACAATGAACTTGTAATAAATAAGTAAACCATTAAGTTAACTGGTGAAGGATCCACAGAAGATCCAGAAGCATTTTCAGTAGCAGCACATGTCCCATTTATTAAATCTGGAAAACATAAACACATCTTTTAAGGCATACTGAAAATAAATATACATCAAGCACATGTAAAAAATAAAATAACCTGTTTCCAGCTTCTCAAGTTCATCAATATTTTCTTCAATTGACAGAGGTTGGTTTTGTTTTCTCAACCAAACTTGACAACAAATCAAAGCTTCCACTATTTTAGGAGTCAATGAACTTCTAAAGCAATCTAAAACCCGGCCACTAGTACTGAAAGTGGATTCAGAAGCAACTGTGGAGATGGGAACAACAAGAATATCTCTAGCCATTTTTGAGAGTATAGGGAATCTTTGACTATTTAATTTCCACCATCTTAATATATCAAACTCTTTATCTTCCTCAAAAATAGCCTCACTCAAATAAATTTCCAACTCAGTTTTTTTCAAGCCTAGTTGCCCACTCTCAAGTTTCTGTTTTTTTAGTTGTGCTTTGAATTTAGAGACTGGTCTTGCAGTCTCAGACTCACAGATTACTAAAGCAGCAGGAGTTGAGTTTGATTCAGAGCTTCCACCAACACTATCTGTGTAATTACTCACATAATCTGAAAATAACTCAGCCAGAGCAAGTTTGATATTTGCAAAAAAGTTCTCACCCTTTTTTTGAGTATACAAAGCATTGAACTGAAAGGGCATGTATTCAAACTTGTCCCTAGGGTCTAGAACATTTGCAAAGAATATGAGATAGTTCATCTTTTCAGGATCTCCCCAATACTTATCAAGTTTGGATTTCATAGTACTTCCAATGGTACTTGTAGAAGGTCTATCTGACTTCATCAAGTCCTGAAGGACCATAAACAGATCAGACACCTCTGAGAAGAAAGTATTAGAAGTAACATAGAGAGAGCCTGAAATTCTGAGTGTCATATCATAAAAATTTTGAAGAACTGTGACCAAAGACTCACAAGAAATCCAATCCATAGTATCTGGAGTGTCAACACCCAAATCAACTGCATAACTGGTTACATTCTCCTCATAAGCTTCAAAAACCTTTTCATTACATAAAGCTGACTTAAGAAGCATTAGGTATGTGGAATTCCACCTAGTTGGAACATCAAGGTGTAGTCCACATTTAGCTTCCACCCCAATTAAGTCAGATATGTCCTTAAACTTTTGAAGCCTAGCAGGAGAATTCCTAACATACTTAACTGCTTCCCTAACCCTAGACAGAGAAGTGTCAGCTTGTTTTAAACCATCCTGAACTGCCAAGTTTAGAATGTGGGTAATACATCTCATGTGAAGATACTGGACTTTAACAGAAGAGGCCCCCCAAGATAATAGTTTTTTCTTGAAGAAGCCTACAGCTGTATCATTACTGCTTGCATTATCAACAGTAACAGTAAAGATGTTTTTTAGCCCCCACTCTAAAAGGTAGTTCTCAAGAGCCTTAGCAATGTACTCCCCTTTGTGAGAAGTAACCTGGACAAAGGAAATGATCTTTTTCTGAAGCTTCCACTGATGGTCTATGTAATGAGCAGTAATACACATGTAGTTGATCCTCTGTACAGAGGTCCATGTGTCAGTAGTAATACTTACCCTTTGTGTTGTCTCCCTAAATAGCTTTTTCAAATTCATCTTCTCGTCCAAGTAGATTTGGTAAATGTCCCTTGCAATGGTCCACCTAGAAGGGATCTTAAATCTAGGGCAAGCTATGGACATAAACTTTTTAAAACCCTGCCTATCAACAAACCTAAAAGGAAGCTCATCAATTTATGTGATCCCTGCGTTCGAGCTAAGCAGACCAGGCTACCATTTCCTACAAGTGCAATTAAGACAACTCGGTGCTTTGAATTGATACATTGTGATATTTGGGGAGCTTATAGATGCGATTCAATCTCCGGAGCACGGTACTTTCTATCTATTGTTGATGATTTTACTAGAGGTGTTTGGGTTTATTTAATGAAAAATAAATCCGAAGTCCCACAACTTTTAATCCAATTTTGCAACATGGTTGATACTCAATTTGAGCAAAAGGTCAAACGAATAAGAGCCGATAATGGTGTGGAATTCCAGACAAACATTTTAGTTGATTTTTATGGACGCAGTGGGATATTATTAGAAACGTCCTGCACTGACACACCGCAACAGAATGGGGTTGTCGAACGTAAACATAGACACATATTGGAAGTTGCAAGGGCGCTTCGTTTCCAATCAGGATTGCCTATTAATTTTTGGGGAGAATGTGTTTTAACTGCTGTTTATATTATTAATAGACTCCCCTCACCAGTTATTCTTAACAAAAGTCCTTTTGAAATGTTGTTTGGAAAAGTGCCTAGTTATGATCATCTACGGGTGTTCGGTTGTTTGGCGTATGGACATGATAACAAACGAAAGGATAAATTTAGTGAAAGGGGGAGTCCTGGCATTTTTATTGGCTACCCTAATAATCAAAAGGCTTATCGGATTTTTGATTTGCAAAAAGAGACAGTTTACAGCTCTCGAGATGTGGTGTTTTATGAAGATCAATTCCCTTTTAAAATTACCTTCAATGAGGAGCTTGAGTTCTCATCACTTATTCAAAAGGTTTACAACCACACAATAAATCATGGATGTCCTCCACTACAGCATGTCAATTCAAGAGAGAATTATTTTCGTCACTCAATGATGACCCATGGAGAACAAGATGGGCAAATTAATCATGACCCCACTTTAGTGCAAAGAAATCAGCCACAGGTTCACGAACCTGGAAGGCAGCAACATATTCAACAATATACCAGCGGACCCACACTGGTAGAATCGAGTGACCTCCGTAAGCAAACACCTCATGGAATTTCTGGACATATGCGGACTCCTGCGCGGACTCACCAGAAAGACTTCAGCTGGACGACATGCCCACACCAGCTGGACCGACCAACCTAGCACCGCCTGAGGAGCGGCTACCCCACAATGAACAGCTGCAGCGACCCTTCGTTGTGGCTCCGGATGTACTTGAATCAGACCAATATGGTCCCAACTCTAAAACAATTAATGAGCTACAGGCTGAAAGTGCCATTCCACTCACCACAGAACATCAATCAATTGACGCACCTGGACCCAGTTTACCCGCCGGTCCCAGCGTCCCATCTTCATGCTTTACACCTTTGTTTCAATCAAAGAGGAGTGATCGGAATCGAAGACTACCGAAACATCTTGATAATTATGAAATTAATTTGCCTCCATCACTCGATCATTCAAGTGATTTCATTTGTTATGAAAAATTCTCACCCACACATAAAGCCTTTTTGGCAGCCATCACGTCACATGATGAGCCAAAACATTTTTCACAAGCTGTACAGGATCCACTTTGGCGAGAAGCAATGAGAAAAGAAATCAATGCATTAGAAGAAAATCAGACCTGGAATTTAGTTCAATTACCCCCGGGAAAAAGAGTTGTTGACTCTAAATGGGTTTATAAAATTAAATATAAACCTGATGGAGATGTGGAGCGTTACAAAGCTAGGTTGGTAGCGAAAGGCTTCACACAAATTGAGGGAGTTGACTTTCATGAGACGTTCGCTCCAGTTGCCAAATTAGTTACCGTTCGTTGTATTCTGGCAGTTGCAGCCAAACGCAAATGGGTAGTACATCAACTGGACGTCAATAACGCCTTTCTTCATGGTGATCTTTCTGAAGATGTTTACATGCGTATTCCACAAGGGTTCGCAAAAGTTGGTGACACCCGCGTTGGCAAGTTACAAAAATCTCTTTATGGGTTACGACAAGCATCTCGTAATTGGTATCATAAATTCACTCAAGCTCTCACCAAAATTGGTTTCCGTCAATCCCAAGCAGATTATTCACTTTTCACCGTCAATCCAACTTATTGAGATATTTGGTATTTTTAATATTCTTATTATATTCTTATTATATATTATCACACATGTAATAAGTTGGCTTGTACTGCATGCCTACTTGCATGACCCATGCAAGTTGTATTCTCTCTCTTGTAATCATCTGCCATGCATGTATGCTATAAATATGGCATATGCATTGTTCAATAAAGATACGAAGGATAAGTATCTCTCCATATATTAAACTCTTCTTCATACATCAATTAAACTCTTCTCCAAATTTATTCCTAATTTTATCATGGTATCAGAGCCGAAATCCTGGCTATGATTTCTTCTTTTTCTTCACAAGTGAATATGGCATATAAATTGCCACATGCTCGTCCTTGGATAATTGATTCTGGAGCTACCGAACATATCACTTGCAGTGATGTTAATTTTTTTAATATCATCAATCTCACACCTGAGCCGTCGTCGGTCAGAATCCCTAATGGTGAATCTATTCCGGTCCATGCTATCGGTAGTTTATACTTACCAAATGGGCTTTACCTTAAGCGCGTCTTATACATTCCGAAATTCCAGTGCAACCTTCTTTCGGTTAGTCGCCTAACAAGCGATCTAAATTGTACACTAACATTTTTCACAGATTTCTGTGTTTTACAAGATTTATCCACAAGAAAATTGATTGGCGTGGGTAAATTCCATGACGGTCTCTATTTTCTGGAATCCCCAAGGAAAGAAGGGGTAGCAATGTCAGTCTGTATTACCCCCGACTTGTGGCATCAACGTTTGGGTCATGCATCCGATGGAAAGTTACATCACATTAGTTCCCTCAAGGGTTTCCGGCGAGACAATAATTTATGTGATCCTTGCGTTCGAGCTAAGCAGACCAGGCTACCATTTCCTACAAGTGCAATTAAGACAACTCGGTGCTTTGAATTGATACATTGTGATATTTGGGGAGCTTATAGATGCGATTCAATCTCCGGAGCACAGTACTTTCTGTCTATTGTTGATGATTTTACTAGAGATGTTTGGGTTTATTTAATGAAAAATAAATCCGAAGTCCCACAGCTTTTAATCCAATTTTGCAACATGGTTGATACTCAATTTGAGCAAAAGGTCAAACGAATAAGAGCCGATAATGGTTTGGAATTCCAGACAAACATTTTAGTTGATTTTTATGGACGCAGTGGGATATTATTAGAAACGTCCTGCACTGACACACCGCAACAGAATGGGGTTGTCGAACGTAAACATAGACACATATTGGAAGTTGCAAGGGCGCTTCGTTTCCAATCAGGATTGCCTATTAATTTTTGGGGAGAATGTGTTTTAACCGCTGTTTATATTATTAATAGACTCCCCTCACCAGTTATTCTTAACAAAAGTCCTTTTGAAATGTTGTTTGGAAAAGTGCCTAGTTATGATCATCTACGGGTGTTCGGTTGTTTGGCGTATGGACATGATAACAAACGAAAGGATAAATTTAGTGAAAGGGGGAGTCCTGGCATTTTTATTGGCTACCCTAATGGTCAAAAGGCTTATCGGATTTTTGATTTGCAAAAAGAGACAGTTTACAGCTCTCGAGATGTGGTGTTTTATGAAGATAAATTCCCTTTTAAAATTACCTTCAATGAGGAGCTTGAGTTCTCATCACTTATTCAAAAGGTTTACAACCACACAATAAATCATGGATGTCCTCCACTACAGCATGTCAATTCAAGAGAGAATTATTTTCGTCACTCAATAATGACCCATGGAGAACAAGATGGGCAAATTAATCATGACCCCACTTTAGTGCAAAGAAATCAGCCACAGGTTCACGAACCTGGAAGGCAGCAACATATTCAACAATATACCAGTGGACCCACACTGGTAGAATCGAGTGACCTCCGTAAGCAAACACCTCATGGAATTTCTGGACATATGCGGACTCCTGCGCGTGACTCACCAGAAAGACTTCAGCTGGACGACGTGCCCACACCAGCTGGACCGACCAATCTAGCACCGCCTGAGGAGCGGCTACCCCACAATGAACAGCTGCAGCGACCCTTCGTTGTGGCTCCGGATGTACTTGAATCAGACCAATATGGTCCCAGCTCTAAAACAATTAATGAGCTACAGGCTGAAAGTGCCATTCCACTCACCACAGAACATCAATCAATTGACGCACCTGGACCCAGTTTACCCGCCGGTCCCAGCGTCCCATCTTCATGCTTTACACCTTTGTTTCAATCAAAGAGGAGTGATCGGAATCGAAGACTACCGAAACATCTTGATAATTATGAAATCAATTTGCCTTCATCACTCGATCATTCACAGTCCAGTGCCCATTCGGTATATCCTCTTTGTGATTTCATTTGTTATGAAAAATTCTCACCCACACATAAAGCCTTTTTGGCAGCCATCACGTCACATGATGAGCCAAAACATTTTTCACAAGCTGTACAGGATCCTCTTTGGCGAGAAGCAATGAGAAAAGAAATCAATGCATTAGAAGAAAATCACACCTGGAATTTAGTTCAATTACCCCCGGGAAAAAGAGTTATTGACTCTAAATGGGTTTATAAAATTAAATATAAACCTGATGGAGATGTGGAGCGTTACAAAGCTAGGTTGGTAGCGAAAGGCTTCACACAAATTGAGGGAGTTGACTTTAATGAGACGTTCGCTCCAGTTGCCAAATTAGTTACCGTTCGTTGTATTCTGGCAGTTACAGCCAAACGCAAATGGGTAGTACATCAACTGGACCTCAATAACGCCTTTCTTCATGGTGATCTTTCTGAAGATGTTTACATACGTATTCCACAAGGGTTCGCTAAAGTTGGTGACACCCGCGTTTGCAAGTTACAAAAATCTCTTTATGGGTTACGGCAAGCATCCCGTAATTGGTATCATAAATTCACTCAAGCTCTCACCAAAATTGGTTTCCGTTAATCCCAAGCAGATTATTCACTTTTCACCTTCCGACAGGGCCTTGTTACCACTTTTGCCCTCATTTACGTAGATGATGTGATCCTAGCTGGAAATGACATTACTCATATTAACATGGTAAAGGGGTATTTGGATACCGAATTCAATATCAAAGACTTGGGAAAACTTAAATACTTTCTCGGTATTGAAGTTGCTCGCTCCCCTGAAGGTTTTGTCTTGAGTCAACGAAAGTACACTCTTGACATTTTGGAAGAGTGTGGTCTTTTGGCAGGTCTCCCTAGTCAAACCCCTATGGAACAGAATTTAAAGCTCCGATCGGACGATGATAGCCCCCTAGTGGATGCCTCTTCCTATCGACGACTTATTGGGCGGCTACTATATCTGACTGTCACTCGTCCAGACATTGTTTATTCTGTAAGTCAACTCAGTCAATTCCTTGGCACCCCCAGACAAACGCATCTTGACGCTACCATACGGGTACTACGGTATTTAAAACAAACACTAGGACATGGTATATTCTTGTCTTCTGAAGAGGACTTCACCCTGCAAGGCTATTGTGATGCTGATTGGGCAGGATGCTCTTTCACTCGTCGATCCAGTACTGGTTATTTCATCACCCTTGGTAATTCACCCATATCTTGGCGAACGAAGAAACAGTCTGTTGTCTCTCGCTCTTCAGCTGAAGCAGAATACCGAGCTATGGCCGTCACAGTTAGTGAAATTTTGTGGTTACGATGGTTACTAAAAGATCTCACAGTTCCTCAAGTGAGCCCTACATCGCTCTATTGTGATAATCAAGCCGCCCGACATATTGCGCTTAACCCGGTTTTTCATGAACGTACCAAACACGTTGAAATAGATTGTTACTTCGTCCGAGAGAGGGTTGCTAGTAATGAAATTAGACCATTGTCTATCTGCACGAGTAATCAGGTGGCCGATATTTTTACTAAAGCACTTGGGAGAGATCATTTTCGCTATCTTCGAAGTAAGTTGGGTGTTCGTAATCTTCACACTCCACCTTGAGGGGGAGTATTGAGATATTTGGTATTTTTAATATTCTTATTATATTCTTATTATATATTATCACACATGTAATAAGTTGGCTTGTACTGCATGCCTACTTGCATGACCCATGCAAGTTGTATTCTCTCTCTTGTAATCATCTGCCATGCATGTATGCTATAAATATGGCATATGCATTGTTCAATAAAGATACGAAGGAGAAGTATATCTCCATATATTAAACTCTTATTCATACATCAATTAAACTCTTCTCCAAATTTATTCCTAATTTTATCAAGCAAGTCATTAAAATCATAAGCATCTCCACATTTGGAATGATTTTCATCCTTATTGTGATTTTCATCCCGATATTTTTGACGGCCCCCCCCAAAAAATAGTATTACCTCCCAGCCCATAAGTTTTTAGCCCAAATCCCCACTCCTGCTCGCTGCTCTCCTGCCTCTCCACAACAAATCGACGTCCCCTGACCCCTGCGCACACCGCCTCTCCACGGGACCACAACCGACGACTCCAGCCTGACAGCCTCCAGGACTCTAACGCACACCGCCTCTCCACAACCGACGACCCCAAATCCCCTGCGGCCTGCGCAGTTCGACATCCATCATCCCCTCGGGCCTCGGCCAGTCGGGCCCCTCCTGAGTCTCCTGCTCTCCGCCTCTCCACGACTCGAACACACACCTCACTCCGCAGCAGCCGACCGCCTCCGCCGCCTTCCGGCCTCCCTCAGACGCCCTCCTTCCGGTCAGTGGCTAATTTGCTAATTCTTTTATTCCTTTAGTTGCTAATTTGCTAATTCTTGTGAACTTTCGATTTATTGAATATTTGAATTGATGAATTGTTGGTTGAATTCTTGTAATTTTT